TCCCACCCCATCTCCAGTCTCCTCTGTACTTTGATTTCAAAGGGATAGCGTTGTTGACTGAGTTGCTTTTGTGATACCCTTCTCTAGTCAAATAGAAAATAACTTTTGTATTTCTTGACCTGGCAAGGACCCTTAAGAACTGATTTCGAATGAACATGCCAGAGACCATGCCCCCTGAGGATTGGTTGAAGGAACCGGGGATGTTTAGCATGGAGAAGAGAAGACTCAGTGGGGGGTGGTGTGAGAGGGGCCACCAAACATTGTGGAATTTGGGTTAGGCTTGTTCTGATTGGCCCCAAAAGGCAGAACTAAGAGCGCTGATTAAAAGTCATAAACAGATAGATATAGGCTCAAGGTGAAGAGAAAAACATTCTAACAAGGAGAAATGGGCATTCTTAAAGAGGAGTGATTTGCTTATCACTGGAGTTCTTCTATCAAAGACTGGATAGTCATTGCTTCGTAGAGGAGATTCCAATCCTGATATAGGGTCAGACTCCATGACCTCAGAAGCCCTTTCTAACTCTGATATTCTCTGATTCCTCCAATCCTTTCATTTGGCAGTTGGTCAAACTGAGGCCCAGAGAGTAAAAAGACTTATGTAAGGTTACACAGCCAGGCTGTGTCACACTTAGGCCTCCTTGATGAAGTCTTTTAATATCTTATCATTTTTAATATGTAAGGCCACACTTGATTTTTCATCTGACAACATGACACGTTTCTTTCCAATCTACATTAGCATTGCCAGCATATCCTACTTGAGAGTCAGAGAGAGCTCATTTAAATAAATACAAGGAGGTGGTAGAGCTGTCATTCCTGAAGCACTGGTATTCATAATGTCTTTTAAAGACTAAATTTCCCAAGAGATTCTGCTGGTGATGACACAGGGGGTGTGGCCATGCAGCTAATCGTTATAAGACTTCCCCGAACTTGTCCCTATAAACCAATTCAAAGAATTGCTTTAGAAGGACAGAAAGTCAGCAGAGTAGTCTCCCACTGGTAAGTCCTCTTCCCCTTCATCAAGCATGTGGGTGGCTAATTCACCTCTGTCTTCTTAGTTGTTAATTAGCTCCTAGGATTTTAAAACTCTCCTTCCTCAAGGGAAGATTTCGGAGGAGCCATTTTCTGTAAGTAGGAGTAGCCTTCAGTGAGAAATAGATGTTTCCTTCTTAATATTCCTTTGAAACTGGGCTGTCATCAGATCTATAGCTAGAAGGGCACTCAGAGGCCATTCAGACTGACCTCTTCATTTTACAGGGGAGGAAACTGAGGCCCAGAGGGGGAGTTCATGTTGGTAGGAAGTTGAAGATCTGACTTTTGAATCCAGGGCCTCTGACTAGAACAAGAAGGGTAGTGTAATGGAAAGAACACAATGGATTTGGAGTCAGGAGACCTAGGTTCAAATCCCACCTCTGCCACTTGTTACCTGTATAGCCTTGGCCAAATCATTTCCTGTAGCACAGCCTTGATTTCCTTCTGTGTAAAATGAGGAGGTTGGACTCAGTGAGATGAAGTTCCTTCTCTTCCCAAATTCTGTGATCCTGTGATTTCAGATCCAGGGCTTTATCAGCTGGCTTTGTTCTAGTCCAGGGGTGGGGAACCTTCGGCCTCAAGGCCACATATGGCCCTCTAGGCACTCAAGTGTGACCCTTTGACTGAATCCAAACTTCACAGATATCCAAAGGATATGCTGGACTTAAATTGATTGGGAGCTCTGGAAGCGGCCGACACCCCATGGCCTAGAGGCGACTGGAGCTAGGACTGAGCTTCTTTTTCACTGCAGTCACAGGCCTCATCAAGGAGGCCTAAGTGTGACATAGCCTGGCTGCGTAACCTTACATAAGAGCAAATCAATCCACTCAATCCAAAGGATATGCTGGCAATGCTAATGTGGATTAGAAAGGAACGTGTCATGTTGTCAGATGAAAAATCAAGTGTGGCCTTACATATTAAAAACTTCATAAAAGGATTTGTTCTGTAAAACTTAGACTCAGTCAAAAGGCCACATTTGATGACCTAGAAGGCCACAGGTTCCCCACCCCTGTAGGTGATACTGCTGTAGGTAAGTGGTATCTTGGGTGTGACATGTTTGGGGATGCATTAAGGTGAAAACTATTACTTCTGCTTCCCTCAAACCTACCTTCCTGGAGAAGTGAAGAGTCTGCAATGCCCCCTTTTCCAACTGGCTTTCAGTTCATCTCTCTGCCCATGTTGATATTTGGGATGCATTTAATTTATTGTCAACATGAATCAACAGGTAACATGTATGTATTAAATTAAAGAAGATATTTCTTAGATGTTTGACAACTTTTACTTTGAGACCCTGGGTAAGTCAATTCCTTTTTTCTGTGCCTCAACTTCCTTTCCTGTAAAATGAGGGGTTTGGACTAGATCTGGTTGCTAGAGTCCCTATCAGGCCTGATGCTGTGAGGAGCTGTCACTCAGATCTTCCAGTCATATTGAGGGATTAGAGTGGATGATCCCTAAGGTCCTTCCAGCTCTGTGATTCTGTAACTCTTAGTGATACTAAAAGTATCTTAAATATCAAAACTGGTCTGGGTATTCCAAATGGTTGGGGGTTTTTTTGTGGCTTGTCCTGAGCCTCTTGCTATCCTCTTTCCTTCTGCCTTTCGATCATGTGCATTTTCAGAAAGTCAAATTTATCTACATTCTCAGCTATCCCAATTCAGCTACCATACAGACTTAATCCAGCATTTGGGTTCAGAAATTCCACTTTTTCTAATGTGCACTCACACAACCTCTCCTTGATGGTGAGCCCATTGACCAGCTCAGGGACCCTTTTTCCCATGTGCCTTTCATCTCTGGAGCCATACCCTTTGTGGGTGAAACTTGGCCACATTCCCAGGTGGGCAAACCAGTTTATGGCCCAGGGCAGTGCAGTGAGTCAGCAATAGAAGATGAAGTTAACTCTTGAGACAGCCCTCTACATACTAGGTCCCATTTTCAGGCTTGGCTTCTGGGAATGCATGTTCCACCTTCATTGAGGGGAGTTGGGCTCATCTACTGCAGTACATTGCAGTCTTTCAACCTGAGGGACACAGAAAGTCAAGTGCACTGTAGGAGACTCAGTAGGTTGGTGCACCTTTATTGTTTCTTTGGTGATGAATCATATACTTGGTGGTTGCTTTTTTTCTTTTTAAGTCTTTGTGGTCTATAAGGAAGTGAGGGGGGAGGAGGAAGGGAGGCTGAGAAGTAGAGAATTGAAGTCCAAAGGAGTTTAATCTCCACTTAGTCAGAAATTGAAGTTAGTTTTCACTGCGGGCGTGATGCCAAAATATGTAATGAATTAGTGGTGGTGGTAGAGCCAAGTGAAGGGATGTGCAGCCTTCTTGAGCCATTTTCCATCTCTATCCCCCACCTTCCTTGTGCCAGACTAGCTAGTAGCTCTCTTGGTTGCTGGTAGGATAGAAGACAGAAGATCATAGGGAATGAGTACTTAGAATCTATCTGGTAAGAAAGAGTTAGAGTTACCCTTACCTTCCAAAGCAGCCTCCATCTGAGTACGCTTCCAGAGGTCAGTTATAGGCTTCCCCAAACCAGCTGAGTCACAGAAAAGACTGACCCACTCCCACCTATCCCAGGTGGAGTGTCCCACATTTACCACCCACTCAGGAGCCAGAGTAAACTCAATGCCCAACTCTGACCTGGTGGAGCAAGTTCTGAAGGCATTCAGTCTCTGTTTCTCAAGGTCCAAGCCCCTTGCATAGTGATAAAGGATTGAGTAATAGTTCTCACAGTGTGATCCAAGGACCACTGATGGTGTGTGTCTTCTGCCTGGTCTACACGGTATTAATGTGCATGATGCAAAAGTACCTCTGGCATTGTTTGCTGACTTGGGAACATTTTGCTGAGGAAAGTCCTGCCCTACTGTGTACTGTTGGGGACTCCCAGAAGCATGTGCAACAGATGCATCTTTGGCAATCTCAGACAGGTTAAGGAAATAAGGACCCCTGGAAAGAGAAAGATGAGTCCGTACAGGGCTCTATCCATGACCAATTGAGGCTCTGCCACTCTTTAGTTATGGGGCAAGTTACCTCCTCTCTGCATCCCAATTATTCTGTGTTGATGGCCATCTTCACAATCAAAGTTTCTAGTCCTCCCCACCCCCATCCCTTTGCATTTATTTGTTTTGTCTGCATTCTGTATTTATTTATCTGTGGATGTATTCCCAAGCCCCCATAGAAGTGCTGTTTGAGGGCAAGGACTACATAGTCCTTGTACATGTATTTCAGCATACACAGGCGGTGCTTAATAAATGCTTCTTGTTTCTTTGGTCATTGAATCAATTAGCATTTTTGAATTCTTAAGTATATACTATGGCTGGTCCATAGGTGTACCACGTGGCTATTGCAAAACTTAAAGAAAGCAGCAGCAAGCCTCCTGTGTGCCCAGCACTGTCTAAGATGCTGGCAACACCAAGACCAAAGTGAACTAGTCCTTGCCCTCAAGGAGCTTGTAATTAGGCTGGGAAGACCCAACTGCTACATATGAAGCAATCTGAGAACTAGCTAATGATACACTGTATGGTTCTGCCTATAAGCACCCTCCCTAGGAGGGCAGAGAAGCATGAGGACCGCAGTAGTTGCTAAAGACCTCTAGATGAGAGGGGGACTTGCGCTGAGTGTTGAAGAATAAATAGGATTCTGAGGATTTTGACAAGAAGACAGGGAGAATCAGAACATTCAAGGGGGAGAATAATGGGAGCAAAAGGGCAAAGGTAAACATTGAGAATTTTTACTTTTTGCAACTGGAAGAGATCACCTAACAACCTCCTCATTTTACCAAGAGGACTACTGAGGCTTAGACAAGGGAAGGGACTTACCCAATATCACACAATAAGCATGGGTGTCAGAGCCTGGACTAGAACCCAGGTCTCTTAATTCTGAGTTTTAAAAAAGCTTCTTATTTTTTTTTACAAGGTTTAATATGTGATTTAAAAAATAATTGTTTTTATATGCTCTAGTTGTGCTGGGTTCCTCCCAATGGCTGAATCATCAAGGTGTGAGACCTTCGTCTTCCTGGACTTGGAGGCCACTGGCCTTCCCAATGCCTATCCTGAAATTGCAGAGATCTCTTTGTTTGCCATCCATCGCTTTTCTCTGGAGAACCCTGAGAGGGATGAGTCAGGTGCCCTACAGCTGCCTCGGGTCCTAGATAAGCTGACCCTATGCATGTGCCCTGAGCGGCACTTCACCCCAAAGGCTTCGGAGATCACAGGCCTGAGTAATCAAAACCTAACCAACAATCACAAGCCAGGTTTTGATAGCACTGTGATCAAAACCCTTCAGCAGTTCCTGAAGCGGCAGGAATCTCCAATCTGCCTAGTTGCCCACAATGGTTTCGACTATGACTTTCCCCTCCTTCGGACTGAGTTGCAGCGTCTGGGTGCAGACATGCCTGAAGGGACCATCTGCCTTGACACGCTCCCTACACTGAGGGGCTTGGATAAAGCCCACCACCACAGCACCAGGGCAAGCCATGGCAAAAAGAGCTACAGCCTCGGTAATCTGTACCGCCAGTATTTTAATGATGAACCCAAAGCTGCCCATTCAGCTGAGGGAGATGTCTACACACTAGTCATGGTCTTTCTTCATAGGGCTCCAGAGCTCCTTCAATGTTTTGATGATGAAGCCCAGAGCTGGGATGACATCCAACCCATGTATACCCCTAGTACCAGAAGACCCAGTAGTCGAGGCCACAATGCCTGAGATGCCCTATCTCCACCCCTACCTCTGAGGTTTTATAGTCAAAGGATGTGTTTTAGGTGTCTGGGTGAGAAGAGGACCAGTATTACTCTGGACACTACTGAGTTGACAACTCTGAAGGAGAGGGAGGAGGGGCTTTCAGAATCCAGTTGGAAGAGACTTCAGAGGTCATTTAGGCTGATAACATCTTTAACAGGTGACCATCCAGCCTTTGCTTGAAGATGTCTAGTGAGGGGGAGTCTACTACCTCATGAGGCAGCCCAGTCCAGTTTTGGAAAGCTCCAATGGTTTAGAAATTGGGCTGAAACCTGCCCCCCAGCAACTTCTCCCCCATCATTCCTGGTTCTGCCCTCTGAGGCCAAGCAGAATAAGTCTAACCCCACTTCCCTGTGATAGCCCTTCAAAAAGTTAATAGCTCTTATGTCTTTCCTAAGGCTAATCATCTGCAATTCCTTCAACTGCTTTTGGTAGATAGCATGATCTTGAGGCCCTCCATCATCTCAACTTGCTCTTCTGAACGCTCTAAGAATTGAAAAAAGAGACTCCAGATGTCTAACCAGGGCTGACTAGGGTTCAGTGGGGCTATCACCACCCTCACTCTGGCCACTATACCTCTCAGTGGAGTCTTTCAAAATTTGCTTTTGGGGTTACCTTGCCACCCTATTGACTCATATTGAGTTTATAATCCACTAAGACCCCCAGATCTTTCTCAGATGTAATGCTGGCTACCCATCCATGCCTCTTCCAGCTTATGCTTGTGATGCTGAGTTTTAACCCAATTAAATATAACTTATTGAATTTGGCCCAGCATTTTAGTATGTTGAGATCTATTCCTTTCTAGCTTTGTCTCATCTGCACATTTGACAAACATCTCATCTACTCTTTATTCAAGTCATCGATGAAACTGTTAAATAGCACAGACATGAACACAAATCTGGCCAGACCATTTGACTATACTACAGTCTAGTACAGTTCCATTACAGCTCCCTATGGAAGGGAATGAATTCTCAGTTACAAGAGGGACTCAAGCATAGTAAATGTGGAAGCCACTCTCCTCATTCAATTCACTTTAGTGGTATGGGTTATTGTCTCTATGCAGAGAATTCTCTGTCTACATAGCCAGTACTGGTCTCTTTCCAGAGCTACACACTCATCACCAATCCCCTTCTAGACACTTTGAACTGGACATCCTTTCAGTGGGCATCTCATATGCAATGAGTCTAAAATAGAACTAATTCTCGTTCCCCCAAAATGCACCATTCTTTGAACTTCTATTATTGTCATAACCACATGGGTATAACCATCCTCCCAATCACCCAGGTTTGTAACCTCTGTGCCATCCTCAGTGACTCACTCTCACCCCACATATAATATTATTAATAATTAATTAATAATAAATATTCAATTAATTAATAATTAACAAATGATAAATAATTATATTATTATAACAATATAATAATATTAATAATAATAGTAGCTAACATTTATAGGGTGCTTACTATGTGCCAGGGACTGTGCTAAGTGCTTTATAAGGATTATCTCATTTGATCCTCACAACAACCCTGGGAGGTAGGTGTTATAATTATCCCCATTTTAAAGATGGTGCAACTGAGGCAAACAGAAGTGAGGTGACTTACCCAGGGTCACACAGCTAGTTAAATATCTGAAGCCAGTTTTGACCTCAGGTCTTCCTGTTTCCAGGCCAAGCTGTCCATCCAGTGCTCCACCTAGCTGCCCAATCCATCCCTAAATTGTGTTGTTTCTATTCTGTAACTCTTGGGTATGTCCTCTCCTCTCCACTCACCCAGGCCTTCCTCCTCATCTCTTGCCTGGACTACTGGAATAGTATCTATTTTCTCCCTGCTTCCAGCCTCTCCCCACTCTAATCTGTCCTCCACACAGCTGCCAAAGTAATTTTCCTAAAACAAAGGTCTTACTATCTCACCCTCCCCACCCAAATTCCAATGGTTCCCTATTACCCCCAAGATCAAATACAACCTCCTCTGTTTGGCATTTAAAGCCTTTTACTACCTCTCCCTCTTCTACCTTTCCAGTCTTCTAACATCTTTTATCTGATCTCAGTTTATTGTTATTCCACCTCACTCTCTGCCTTTCTCTGCACCATGACTTCCAACTCCTCTGCCCCATTACTCGTGTATAAGCTACTAGCCCCTTTCTCCATCTCCACCTGTTAGTGACATCACCCTCTTGAATCTCTTGTCTCATTATCCTATCAGTGATCTTGCTCCAAGTCTCAGCCTTGAATCACTCCCACTGTCCACTCATTGCCTTCACTTTTATGCAGGTACTGCTGAAGGAAGCTGGAGCTAATCACAAAACCCCACTAGCTTGGTCTACTACAAATTTGCGCTACATAACCTCAACTGGGTCTTTACTGCTGCAAAGGAATCCCTTTACCCCTCCCTAATTAATTCACTATCTTCTTAAACCTCCCATGGCCCACCCTGGCCCCCACCAAAGTTCTTAGCTGAGAATCTTACCTCATATTTTACTGAAAAAATCGAGGCCATTCTCCAAGAGATGCCTCCTCCTCAATTCATATCACTCAGATGCCTTCTGCCGCTGTCTTCTTTACCTCTCAAAATGAGGTGGCCTTTCTCCTTGCCAAGGCAAACCCCTCTCCGTGCACGAGTGATCCATTCTATTCTATCTTCCCTAGCAGATTGTTCCCTTTTAAACATTCCCACTCTCTTACTTATCAATAATCTTTCCCTATCTACTGCCTGCTTCCTCACTCCCTACCAACATGCCCATGTAGGCCCCATCATCAGAAAATTCTCCCTTGACCATCCATTGGCACTAACTATCATGCCTCACATTGGGGGCTGAACTTCTTGAGAAGGCTGTCTAAAATGGGTGCCTCTACTACCTTTCCTCTTACTATCTTAAATATTTACAGTCTGGCTTCTGTCTTCATTACACAATCTAAACTGTTCTTTCCAAAGTTACCAGTGATTTAGTTGTCAAATCTCATGGCCTTTTCTCATGCTTCTTGACCTCTCTGCAGCTTTTGACACTGGCCAAACACTCTCTTTAACTTGATACTCTCTTCTCTCTTCTCTCTGGGTTTTCATGACACCCCTCTCCTGCTTCTCCTCCTACCTGACTATTTCTTTCTCAGTTTCCATTGTTGGATTTTCATCCATAGGTGTTCCACAGAGCTCTGTCTTGGGTCCTCTTCTCTTCTCCCTCTACCAGAGGTTCCCAAAGTGGGTGATACTGCCCCTTGGGGGGCACTGGAAGGACCCAAGGGGCAGTAGTGTCCTTGGGTTAAATTGGGGGGCACTGAATAAAAATAAGGGGGCAGTGGAAGCATAGGGAAAGAAGAGAAGAAAATTTTGAAAAACCATTTATACATGTTTCATCTGTTGTGTAACAGAGTTAAAGTCATAGTGATTACATTATTTTCCAAATAAACACACAAAATGCAAGCTATAACCAATCAGTGGTCAAGTCCACTGACAGGTTTTAACAAGCAAGTGTTGGCAGGCAAGTATTTTGGCAGGCAAGCCAGCATGTATCGGCAGGTATATGTGTGTGTAATGGCTTGTTTATAATACGACACCATATGGATACATGACACAATATTATGTCATCAAAATTTCAGTGTAGGTAAAGAACCACAAATTTACAATAAAGTATTAAATTTAAGATGTGTCATTTAAAAAATATATATTTTACATTTTTAAAAAATGTCACAAATTTCAAAAAAAAAAACTGTTGAAGGGTTAAAAAAAGTAGATTTCTAGGGGGGCCCTGAGTAATTTTTTTTTCTTCGAAGAGGGGGCTGTAGGCCAAATAAGATTGGGAACCTCTGCTGTAGACTATTTCACTTGGTGATCTCATCAGCTTCCATGGATTCAATTAGCATCTATGCTGATGCTTCCCAAATCTACTTATCTAGCCCTAACCTCTCTGCTGACCTCCAGTCTCTTGCATCTCCAACTGCTTATTAGACATATCCAACTGGATGTCTTTTAGACAACTTAAACTCATTTTCCCCCAAACCTTCCCCTCTTCCTAACTTCCCTGTTATTGTTGAGGGTATCACCATCCTCCCAGTCTTTCAGGCTCAAAACCTAAATGTTATCCTGGACTCCTTCCCCCCACCCTCCAGATTCAAGTTGTTGCCAAGGCCTGTAGATTTCATCTTTGCAATATCTTTCAAATACTCGAACCCTGCCCTTTTTCTCCTGGGACACTGCCCTCACTCTAGCACAGAACCTCGTCCCCTCAGGCCTGTACTATTGTAATAGCTTGTGGGTGGATCTACCTGCCTCAAGTCTCTCCCCACTCCAATCCATCATCCATTCAGTCACCAAACTGATCTTCCTAAAGCACAAGTCTGACCACATCAATAAATTCGAGAAGCTCCCTATTACCTCCAGGAGCAAATATGAAATCCTCTTTTTGATATTCAAAGCCCTTCATAACCTGCTACCCTTACCTTTCTAGTCTTCTTACTTTTTCCTTCCTCCCTCTCGTCCCCTCAATACTCTTTGGTCCAATGACAGTCCTGGCTTTTCTTTGCAGAAGGCATTCCATCTTCTGACTCTTGGCATTTCCTTTGGCTCTTTCCCCTGCCTGGAATGCTCTCCTTCCTCATCTCCACTTGCTGGTGCCCCTGGTTTTCTTCAAGTCCCAGCTAAAATCTCACCTTTCCTGTCTTGATTTTTTTCCAATTTGTTCTGTATATATCATTTGTAGTTAGTTATTTGTATATTGTCTCCCCTCTTTGAACGTGAGCTCATTGGGAGTAGGGACTGTGTTTTTACCTTTTCATGTCCTCAGCTTTTGGCATGCAGCCTGGCACTTAGTAGGCACTTAATAAATGTTTAATGACTCTCTTCCATGTACTCCATGATCCATCTACACTGGCCTACTTGCTGTTCCTTACATGTGATACTCCATCTGGATCTATGCTTTGAACTGGTTTGTCCCTCACGCCTGAGTTGCTCTCCCTTTTCATCTCTGCCCCTCAA